TGCACATTTCACCCTTGGTGTACTTTGCGTACAGGTGGTCTATGTTCATCTGTCTCCATACCCTGAACTTCAGATCTGCTTTCACTTCTTTAGCATGAAACTAGCGTAGCGTTAATCATTGACGGTGGACAGAAAAGCAGATTGTTTAGATAACCCATCGGCTCTCCTTACTAGGATTCTAAAAAGCTGGAGAAAGCCGGATGTTTTGCTAAGGATCTTGTGTAAATCCTTCCCCAGGCATCACTCATTGGATAACATGCGAGAGTTGTGTGACAGGCCCCCTTAGTCTGACCATCTTGGCAGCCGGCAGGATTTGGCAGGCCGGTGGATGGCAGAGGATTTGCAAGGGCACGCTAATTAGAGGCTGGAAGAACAATGTGGCGTAGGATAAAAAAAAAAAATACAGGCCACTCGTTGTTTTTTTTTATTGGATGATTTTATTTGAGAAACGTTTTTTTTTTTCATTGCATGTCTTGTCTGCAGATTATACTAAATGCGTCTTGTTTTCCCGAAGTCTTGTGATTTGCACAGCGATATCTTATTTCAACAGGTTTTGCATGAGTCTCAGTCTGCCTGCAGCACGCCATGGGTTTATCTTACAGCACAGGTTGTGTTTACCGTGGAGGCAAATTAGGAGGTGCCAAGGCAGCACTGAAATGTTTGATGGCAATAAAGACTCTTTTGTAGGCGTTTGCTTCTAGGTGCGAAATTGTGATTGTGCACGTGTTTTCCACGGATTTTACTCGCCACCTGTTTTTCCTCTCCTCGGAAGAGGTTTTTACAAATCATTGTTGCTTTTGCATCCGGTTCTGTTTGCCAATGGGATGTACTCTTGTTGGGGCTTGTTCACACCTACTGTAGTGACTGGCGTTGTGGATAAATGCAAAGTTGCCACTACGTCAGTTTGTTTTCCATGGGCCCTGTTCACATCACAATACTGGTGTGGTTTGCAGTGCAAACGTGATGTATCTATCCGTAGTGCACTGAATGGCAATGCAGATCAAACTAATAGAACTGGAGGGACAGTGCCTTGTGTTTGTAAAACACTGCTACAGAGCGGACCTTTAAACTGGTTGTAAACTCTTACATATGCCTAGTGAAGTGACTGGCCTCAGGTGATGCAGAGATTAAACAAATCCTCATAGAAGTTGTACCTGTTTATCTACAGTTTTCTCTTCTCTACATCTATTCAAAGTGCTGAATTCATAAAGCTTGTCTGAGCTGTTGGAAAATGGGTGGAGAGCTGAAATGGCACACTGCAGAGCTCCGTGAGAGCTGATTGGAGGGAAGAGACAACCCCACCACCCCTTCACACAGCTCACAGGAACAGAGCTGAGGCTGTGAATGTGCTGCAGGGCCCTTCTGTCACCATTTTTCTTCTGGTGTCAGAAAAACTTGTCAGAAGTTATTCATGCTGATGGCAGAGGAATGACGCAGCAGACAGAAATTACACTTAGTGCTCTTAGTGAGACAAGTACACACTATAGAGGGATCTGCTTTGTTCATTTCTGAGTTTTGCAACCACTTTAGGTGTGTGTGTGTGTGTTTAAATCTTGGCCAATGGAAAGCTAGCCACTAGGCAAAATGTGGGGAAAAAACATTTCATCACTTTTCAGGTTCTTCTATTGGAAGTCAAAATGGGTGACTCTTAAAGGAAGCTTATGTACTTCTTCTTTTTTTTTTTTTCCCGGACGAGCTGCAAGTGAAACAACAGCTAGGTGTAAACAGGCACCATTGAATCTGATGGAAAGTCTAGTGTTTAATCGCTCGTGATGAAGCTTCAAATCACTCAAATGTGAACGCTTTCCACCCCCCAATGATTTATTTATTTTCCCTTTTTTCACAGTGTTATTAAAGTCCAGTGGTGTTCTGTAGGGATCTGCTGCTGCACACCCAGTCCTGTGCCATAATCTTCTCTTACCTCATCAGATTCTTACATTAAGAACCAGAGAATGGACTGCAGTGCATGTTCTGTAATACCCCAAGGCTTCCTGGAATACGTGGCCTAAGTTTTCCATGAGGTTCTGTAGGGATCTGCAGCTGTACACTCAGTTTTGCAGCACCATCATCTCTTACATCATGGAGTTTTTGTAGCAGGAACCTAAAAGAGACAGCTGACCCCCTGATGATGGGCAGTGGTGCATGTGGTGTTGTATCTGAGGATTCCTGGGACACATGGCATGAGGTTCCCAGGAGGCTGTGGAAGTGTCATTCTTGCCTGGTCAGTAATCCAGGAAATGTGGGGAGGGTTCTCTGAAAAAAATCAAAAATCTGAGTGAAGGGTTAGAAGGTTAAGGTCTACTTTATATCAGAGTTCCACCCTATCTGCAGCAAACTGAGTCGGAAGTTCAGGCACCCCCTGCAGCCCTCTAGGACATTTCACAGGTCCCAGAGGACTGCAGCCCATTCACAAGCGCAGCGCACTGTAGGAAGCTGGCTGTGAAGCTGCAAGTCAAGATGGCGGTGTCAGCACCCACCAGCTGATTGAAGAATCCACTCGGAGTAAGAACATTGCTGGATCCTTGGAAAGTTAAATGGCCAAATATTAAGTCGTCGGCTCTAGCATTTGTAGTAATTTTTTTTCTGTGAGGGGGCGAGGGCCGAAACTCCCCCTTTTTTAACTTTCCACATACATCTAGAAAGTGTGTCTCTCCTCTAAGGGTCCTTTCACACGGGCGCCTTCCATTGCAATCTGATCAGGTGTGTGTGATCTTACCTAGAGGTAAGCAAGTGTAAACTGACACAAGTCCATTTTCACCTGTTGATCCACAGGAATGCATGGGTCTTCCAATCGGATCTGCCTGAAAAACTGATCAACTTCCTGTATAGAAGGTTCATCTGATTTATATCTGCCTATGTGTCACAGATGAGTTTCTCTACCATCTGACATATCACCGTGTGTGTGTGTGTGTGTGTGTATGTATGTATGTATGTATATATATGTGTGTATATATATGTGTGTGTGTGTATATATATATGTGTGTGTATATATATGTGTGTGTATATATATGTATGTGTGTGTGTGTGTGTGTGTGTGTGTGTGTATATGTGTATATATATATATATATATATTCCAACAACTGTCGGATGTACTGAAGCTAGATATGTAAATTTGTTCCTTGTCTTCTCTATAATTGGCAAAGATTTGTCTCCTTTCTACCCTATTTATGGAAACACGTGCACTTGTATCCCGTAATGTTGTTTGTGTCTCTTGCAGACACTCCCTGTGGCCCTTTCTGAGGAACATAAAATATGCCCCCCCAAAAAACCCTGAGATGAGCAGATAACATGTACTTGAGAGGTTAACAAAAACTAAAATATGGCTTTTAAAAGTAATATGCAACCATTTCCAATGTCTGATGGCGTGCACTAAAATCAAGCACTTGCGCCAATGTTCTAAGGTAAAAATTGTTCTGAAAAGTATAGTTACCACGATGGTGGGGGGGGGGACAGGGACAGCGAGGAGCAGCACTGCAGGTCGCGCTTGATGCCTGTTGGGGTGCTGAATCCCTATATAGGAATGAGATCCTAGTACAAAAAAAAATGTAGGCCTGCAGAAGCACCTGTGATACCGTGCAGAGATCGCATTAACAATGCATGTCTTATGACCATGGATCATTAGTTCATGATTATCAAGCTTCCTCAAGTATTTTCTGTTATGAGCGGCTCAGCAGAGCTCCAGGCTTCTTATTTTTGGCCTTGTATCCTCAATCTCACAAGATATATTTGAATGGGGAATAAATATCTTTTAGGTCTTTCAGTTGGGCGGTTCGTGCATTTTCTCAGGGTACAGTTCAATTGGGGTACGGCACAATGTCACGCGATTGTGGTATGGTAATGCAGCATTAAAGGGTGATCGATATATGGTCACCTCACTGCCTGTCGTGCCCTCTGAAAAATGATCTTAAAACAGATTACTCTTCAGAGGTCACCACACATGATGACTGTGAGAGCCCATACAGCACCATATGAGTTGGTCTGTGCTGGGCAGCCTTGCCCAACTCCTTCCCAACACATAGACAAGGCAGTGTACGCCTATGAATATAGGTCATACCACTGCACTTGCATGGTCCTATCCCATAACTAAAATAGGAAGAGAGGGAATCCCTGATTGTCGCAAGAACTAATGACCCCCATTGGGGTTCACTCAATTCCTCTTCTCAAACTTTTTTGGGATTTTTTTCAATTTTCGCAGATAATGGTGAATCGTGAAATTCACTCTTTATTTGACCTAACTGGGAAGCAGACTGCAATAAAAATCTGACAGGTGTTGTAAGTCCTCTCCACTCTATCCGAAACATTAAAAAAGTTTTGCCTTTTTAGTTATTCAAGCAGAGCTCCACCCAAAAGGGGAAGTTCCACTTTAAGGCTTTGTTCCCCGCTCCCTGTTAAGCATTGGCACCTTTGGGGAGCGGGGGGTACTTGAATTTGACCGGCATCTGCTGCGATTGCCTAGGCTATTGGAAGTGGAAGTTGCCTCTCCCTGTAGTCTTCTGGGACACGTGATAGGTCCCAGAAGACTTCAGGACCATTCACAAAGCGCAGCTCTACTTGCACATGCCCAGTGAGCACCTGGTATGAAGCAGCAAGCTGTGCCAGAAGCTGCCGGGGACACAGGACAGCCGATGAACCTGGCTGGTGTGAGGACACCGTGGGTTCGAGGGACAGCTGAGTGTCTGTTTTTTAAAAGTCTGCTACAGGTTTTTGTAGCTGCTGACATTTTATTTATTTTTGTTTTCTTTTGACTGGACCTCCACTTTAGTTCCCTTTGACTCCAAACTGCACAGGCACTAAGCCGTAATCCAACCTGGAGTGACTTGCATTGTAGGGCCCATTAACCGAAGCGCAGTCTGCGGCAGTGTTTTCACATGTTGGATCATGCATTAAAGTGGTTTTAAAGTAATTTTAAGGGTTTTTTTTTTCCTTTAAGTGTTAGTAAACACACAACCGTAAAATCAGTCTGTATATGTAGTAAAGCATGCTTGTTGTCACTGTGGAACCTAAGGGGTTAATCCTCTGCATTGTGTAAAACATGCTGTTTGATACGGACTTCTCTGATCCTTCCCTTCCAGTGTCCCCCACTTATCTCTTGATAAGACAAATGGTGTGGAGATGCTCTGCTCATGCTCAGTTTGGTGTATATTGCTAGAGAGGGTTTTTTTTTTCTTTCTTGGGAGAGTGCATGTGATCAGTACAGGGCCAATCAGCACTGTCCAGACAGGTCAGGGGTTCTGCATCCTCCTAGAGCAGAAAGAAAACACCACCTACAATCTTTAACCAGTGCTCTGCTGCACACTGATAGAAGTCACAAAACTGCTCTAACTGCTGATGAGAGAAGGTATTTAGCAGTATTATATTTACTAAAATAATTGCATTTCCATGTTCTGTGTGAGACCAGATAGTGGATGCAGGGTCCTGGATTTAGTAACCTTTAAATGCATTGGGATAAACAAACCACCTGTTGCAGAGGATCCCCAGCCCCCCTTATACTTGCCAATCTCGATCCAGCAATGTATATGAGAGTATTCTCTCTGTTCTATCTCCCTCCTCACTGGGTAGATTGATAACAGTGGAAGCCATTGACTTCTACTGTCAATCAAATCCTATGACTGGGGGGGGGGTGGGGGTGGACGAGCCCTGCAGTCTGTCAATAGACACAGACAGTGGGGCTCTGGAGCAAGCCTGCATGTGTGCCACCATAGGAAGCTGCTTCCTTTGGTGGCATAGGGAGAAGAGGAGCTACTGAGAGTGCAAGCGGGGGACCCCAGAAGAGGGAGGGTCATGGCTGCTCTGTGCATAATCATTGCACAGAGCAGGTAAGAATAACATGTTTGTTGTTCCAAAAACTGGAAGGCTTATCACTTTAAACTGCATTGTGTTAGAGAGGGCCATTCTCAATGGACCAAAAATGGCACATGCACAATTTTGAACACTGTAAATCATGTTGATGTGCAACTTTGCGCTAAACTGCAACACAAGTGTGCTGAGAAGGTGTGTTGGGGTTCCGTGTAGAAGGATTGCTCTGCGACCTGCAAATCTCCCACATTCCTCTTTCCTATGGGAGGCTGAGGACTTTGTTTATAATCTCACACGATCTCCGAGACAGGCTGTGTGTAAATGTAAACTGAGGAATGTGCTGATCTGTTCTGACTGTGTTTACTTGATACAGTGTCATGTCCTGCAAGTGCGTTCCTGAGTGCATTCAGGGAGGTCATGGTACTTTGAGAAGGGCTTCCCTTAAGAGGAATTGAGGGCACAGTAAATGCGATGTGCACACTACAGTGTGACAGTTCAATGCCAAGTTCCAAGGGAACAGGATTGAGCATTACAGCACAAAATACAGGAAATTACGTGCATCTTCTTAGATTTTTTTTTTTTTTTTTTTTCTTTTCTTTTACCATGTTAATCATGGTGGCTTTGTAATTGTTCCAAGCATCACTGGAATGTGTCCTCTCCTCCTTGCCCAAGTGTTGCCCATGCTGTCTCCCTCCCCTATCACAGCAGCACTGAGCTGCAGCATCTGTGGGAACACTGTATCTGTGCAGGTCTTGAAAGAGTGAGAATGCTCATTCCAATGATACTGGGAGTGCCCCCAACCTATGGGACTTCCCAGATCACAGGCAGGGTGGTGTGGATATCCCCATTCGTAGCTGTGTGTAAACCGTGATGGGCCTACAGATGAGGACCTTAAATAGAACTCCAAATATTAACTTTGTTTTTTATTGCATTTTTTAAAAGTACTGGGGCCCCTTGTCGGCATAGTGTATTTTTATTACAAATGTGAACCTTTTTTTAAAGGTAAATTTGATCATGCTGATGTTGGCAAAGTATAGGAATAACCAATCTCAACAATCTAATGGGCAGAATGAGTTTGCTAAGAGATGATTTAAGCATGCCAGTTGATGGTCTGGAGCATGTAGGAGTTGGTGGTAAGAGTCCAGTAACCCCTTCTAAGGATGTTCTGATGTATTGATATCAGGGGCGGACTGACAACTCATGGGGCCCCCGGGCAATAGGGGATCATGGGGCCCATGTGTCCTTGCCCACACTCAAAAAAGACTATTAAAAAAAAATAAAGTACCAGGGGCATTTCATGGGGCCCCCTACTGACCCCGGGCCCTCGGGCAGTGCCCGACTGCTCGAATGGTCAGTCCGCCCCTGATTGATATACTATAAAAGTGGATGGAAAAGGAGTGTTTCAGTGAGCTCCCCAAATTAACGTGCGAGGCAATGTATATAACCCCTTCGTGATGTAAGGTAAAACAAATCCTAATGCCTGAACACTGTTTTGAAAAGGATGAATGGGACCTTTTTTATTTTGTAAGAAATAACATATCTTTTGAAGTAACACATCTTTTGATAAAAGAAAAAAAAAGATATACATTTTTTTTTTTTTTGGGGGGGGGGGTTCTGTATATATTTTTTGCTATTTAACGTATCACCAGAAAACGCCCCAAAATATATTCACCTGCTCCTTACGATTGCAGTAATACCACAGATGTGTATGTCAATTTTTTGTACACATGGTAAAGCCCAGAAAAAAGATTGTGCCTTTTTGCTATTTATTTATTCTTTTTGTTTTAATACTACTTAAAACATACACAGGTGCGCACATATGTGGTCCCACACAGATAAAGACTCACTTCTGTGAGGCCACATATGTGTATATTGGTGGGAGGGAGGAAATGGTGTAATGGGATGTGAAATCAGAGAGAGACAGAGAGAGAGAGAGACACTGCGACTGTTCAGCAATTGAAATTTCTAGGTATGAAGTGACAATAATTTGTCAAATCTGCTTTTATTAGGACATATTTAATATAACACATGACCGTAATAGTAGTCTTGGCTTTTACTAACATTTAATATTCCCTTTCTATTTTTTATAGGTGGCATATAAATCATCTGTTGTAAATGTTTGTAATTTTTTATTGGTTGTGTATGTTGTATTGTTTGTTGTATATGTTATTATTCTTTTTTTTTTTTTTTTTTTTTTTTTTTTTTTTTTTTTTTTTTTTATCGCTGCTAAAAGGCATACAAAACGGCTGATTTCCAAAGCACATTGATTTCATTGCCACGATAATGCATGTAAAGGATCAGCAAGATATATTTTCACCATGAATCCAATAACACTATCCTTTGAGAATTATACTTCCAGTAGCATCCTGTCTGTAGTTCGGTATCCTCCCTGAACACACTATTTGGGGGATAGAGGAAGGTAGAAGATGGATTAAAAGTGGGTGGAAAAGCCAAAACAGAACAGGGAGACACACGGGGGAGGGGAATTGGCAGAGAAGAGGTGCAAAGGAAGCTTTACAGGAAAAACTGGGTCTGCTTCCTTCCAATCTGGGTCAAGAAGTCCATTTCAAGCCACAAATAGTAGAGATTATAAGGCCTCCAACAGTTCCTTCTATTTAGACAAATATCACTCGTACCAATAGAATTTTGTCTGAAAATTATTTATTTATTTTTTTCTTTGTACAAACCCTTCTCCGTCACGATCAGATCCTCCACATAAATATTGTGAATTTTAAGCAACCTTATGGCATAGCATTGTTTCCAAAGGCTTGGGATACAACTGCATTGATTATATGTACCAGCGTTGAGCATTGGTTGATCAGATGAGCTAGGGAAGGTTTGATGGTGCAACTGAAAGAAGGAAAGGTCTTTTCAGCAACTAAATTTCTTAGCAATGCATCGTACCTCAGACTGGAATGTGTGCAATTTTATCACCGGATGGAAAATATGTCCCTTATGGTATCACCACACCTCTAACATAACTGAACGTTGATAACTTTTTGTGTAGCTGGTAAATGCCATCTCGTTGGTATTTTAAAACAAGATTTCTGGTATTTATAGAAACAATTGAGTACTGTCCGTGATACTTTTTTTTTTATTTGCACTAACATACAATTTTGAGGACAAGCTTTCGGGGTATGTCCCCTTCTTCAAGGTCCAGGCAGTACTATTTCACAAAGTTTTAGCAGAATGTTAGAAGAGATGTTGAAAGGGGGAGAAAAATAAAAACGGAAAAAAAAACAAATGTACACAGCAATGGTTATAAGACTAGGATTAGACTAGAGATAAGACACAGCAAAAGCAAAGACTGGGGGGAGGGGGGGGCAGACAACACTCAGAGGGGGTTGTAAAACTGTTGGATAATGAGTGAGGAATCCCATGTGAGGAATCCCATGTCCAAATTAAGGTTATCTCTTGTATCAAATAGAATTATCATTCTTTAGTTCAAAAGTTTTCCTTTCCTGAATAGTTTTGAAATTTCCTTTTTAAGAACTAAAATATTGAGGTCTTCCATAGTGTGGTCTGGTTGTGCGAAATGGTGTCTCACAGGTGTGCAAAAGTCATGTTTTTTTTTATGTTCCTTGATGGTATGTCTGTGCAAATTCATCCTTGTTTGCAACTTCTGTCCTGTTTTGCCAACATAAGATCCTTTGCTACATTTTCTGCACTGGATAAGGTACACAACATTACTGGAGGTGCAGCTGTATGATCCGGAGATATTGAAGATCCCTTTTGAGTGTTTGACACTTTTTGATGGATTGATTTTGGTTGCACAGTTTGCAGCGTTTTTTTATTGCAGGTTTGCTTCCATTATTTGTGCCATCTTGATCAGGAGGAAGTTTCCTACTGATTTAGTTTATTTCTGAGGTTTGGGGGGTTGTCTGAAAGCCAGTATTGGGGGGTTGCTGGAATATTTCCATCCTCTGTTATGATGGGTTGTAAATCTTTGATTAGTTTTAGCCTTCTAGTGATGGGTTGTATGTGGTTACAAGACTCCTTATCCAACAGTTTTATGACCCCCTCTGTAAGTGTTGTTTTTCCCCCCCCCCCCCTTTGCTTTTGCTGTGTCTTATCTCTAGTCTAATCCTAGTCTTATAACCATTGCTGTGTACATTTGTTTGTGTGTGTCTTTCTGTTTTTTTGTGTTTACTCCCCCTTTCAACATCTCTTCTAACATTCTGCTAAAACTTTGTGAAATAGTACTGCCTGGACCTTGAAGAAGGGGACATACCCCGAAAGCTTGTCCTCAAAATTGTATGTTAGTGCAAATAAAAAAAAGTATCACGGACAGTACTCAATTGTTTCTGTCGCAAATGCACTAATACGGCTACAATCACCTCAAGCAAAACGGTATTTATAGCAAATGGAGGTTTTATGTATGAAGAACAGTATTCTATCAGTTTGTTCCAGCTAGAGTAATTTTGAAGATCCCATTCCTATTTAGATACATACAGCAATGTAGTCTGCCGCTGGAGAATTCAACTTTCTGTAAATGAAAACTATTGCATGAAGTAATGTTAATTTTATTTTGTTATTTATTTAAAAAATGGCTTTATTCTATATTGCAATCCACAGAAAATGAACTAT